TAGTAATATTGATAAGAATATAAAAAGCCTCTATAGAAAAACATATATATCTCACTATCGAAAAAGACTATGTTCTTAAATTAAGAATATATTCTTAAATAAAGAATATATGCTTAATTTCAGAAGAATATCATCTAAAATGTTTAAGAAGATTTTTTAAATATAAAATCTTCTACTTACAAAAATATAATATTTTTTCGGTGTATATATATATATATATATATATACACGTACACCGAAAAAATTGTATTCTTGTTTTGAGGATATCCCACTTACTTTAAGTATATTTTATACTAAAATAGGCGCCAACAAGAGTTTCTTATTTTAAGAGGAAAATCCTCTAATTAGTAATATTGATATAAGAATATATACTGATTAGAATATAAAAAGCCTCTATAGAAAAACATATATATCTCACTATCGAAAAAGACTATATTCTTAAATAAAGAATATGTTCTTAATTTCAGAAGAATATCATCTAAAATCGCTAAGAAGATTTTTTAAATATAAAATCTTCTACTTACGAGAATATAATGTTTTTGGTGAGCGAATCCAAAAGTTGAATTTTTTAGTTTTTTTTTTTTTTGCGCGACTGATGTTAATTTTGAAGTGATTTTATGATCTTTTAAGTAGAAAATTTATTTATTTATTTATAGAAGATAATATTTGTGAAAATTAATTTTTTTATCGGAACAATTAGACAAGTTTTACATTTCAGAACGTAATTGTTATTACATTGCAAATTTTTGTATTTCAGCAAAAACCATAGTTTTAAGTAGGTAACGCGTTATTTAGCGAAAGAATTTTAAAAAGTTTCAACAATTGTTGTGCACAATTGTGTATCTGTCGCGCGTTACACAGTCGACTTGGTTTCGTACAACTGTCGCAACAGTTTCCTCACTACGTGCCCGTTGGTGACGACTTCCCTGCCGTGTCTGTAATTGCGGGCGACACATTGCGTGAGTTGGTTTCTCATGTAAATGCAATCCTGAGGAACGAAGAGTGGAGACGATTCGGCTGTTGATAAACCGGTTCGCAGCTGATTGAACAGATTCAGAATAACGCACTCTTTCATCAGAATCTCGGATTCGGCCACTTTGCCGTCATCCGCGGTGCAAAGCCACAAGATATTGTCCAGCCAATCGTCCTCCCCGCGCTGCTCGGTCCTGTAACCGATACCCAGATCTTGCAGCCACAGCGTCAACTGTAATAATACAATCGAGAAAAAAAATTGAAACTCTCGGTCGATTTCCCTTCGTATTAAAAGTCCTTCGTCTATGCTCGTCGCGTGATAACGCGACACGAGCGGAATCAGTTTCCGGTTTTGATATTACGAGCGGCGATAGATGGAAATGTTGCTCGGGATTTTTTTTGTTTTTTCTTATATCTCATCGAATATATACACCGAAAAAATTATATTCTTGTAAGCAGAAGATTTTATACTTAAAAAATCTTTTTCAAGATTTTAGATGATATTCTTCTGAAATTAAAAATATATTCTTTATTTAAGAATATAGTCTTTTT